GAGGCAGAAGAGCGGGAGAATGCAGTCACAACGGTCTCTCCTCCCCACTGTTGCCAGCTGCAGTGGTCTGTGGCCCCGCTGCCTTTGCCGATACAGGCGGGGAGAGCAGCAGGGATTGAAAGGGACACAGACCGCTGCAGCCAGCACCAGCAAGGATAAGAACGGGAGGAGCAGTGCAGCAGAAACTAAACGATGCTCATTATCGACTATAATTGATTTAATCGGTTATTGCAGCCCTAATTTCAACGAAAGGGGTTATTCGTCTCCTGTAAAAACACCGTCATGCAGTTCCACAAAAAAAAGGTCTTCATTGGCCACACAAACCCAGTTTCTGAAACACCATGAGGGGAATTTATCAAAAACTGGAGCAGACAGAACCTGGAGCAGCTGTGCACAGCAACCAATCAGCTTCTCTCTTTAATTTTCAAAGCTTAACTGAACAGAAGCTGATTGGCTGCCATGGGCAACTGCTCCAGATTCTGACTGCTCCAGCTTTGATAAATTCCCCTCAATGAATTCCAAATTTCATCAAAAAATGTGGCTAATACAATATAATGGGGTTGAGTTGCTAAAGGAGTAGAGCAAGTTCACTTTGCAACCCCCGATTCCTGGGGTCAATAAACTAAAGGTAAATGCTGCATCCTGTCTGCAGCAAAGGGATGACATAATTTCAGCCTTGGCAAAGTCATACGACAGGAGGTTAAATACTGCTTTAATAATACAAATACCGTATTTTTTCAAAATTATACTATTGATATCTTGTGACATATGACATTTACTCGTACACATTTATAAAATTACTAAAATGTTAACTTTACCTACAGAAATATTACAGAATGCCGTGTTTTGGCTTGTTTCCTAAGCACTACACAGTTACCACAAGTGATGCTTGCAACAGTCACACTTATGAATTAAAATTTGGAAAGTGTGTGGAAAATCTGTGTATCTTGAAAAAGTAAAATTTGTGTGACAGGTGTTCAGTGACTAAGTAGTAATACCAAAAAGTAAGTAGATAAAAAGTAACACTGGAACAGCTGTAAGGATCAGAACACACCAAACACATGCCATTTGAACCCTATTAAATAACGTATCAAGTGCTCAGCTGACAAAAGAACTCAAATGAAGCCCCCAAACTAGTAGTAAATGCAACAAAAAGACTGAAAAAGAAAGGAGCATAAAAGAAAGCCATTGTGTTGACCTCACCGCCCCCACGCCAAACATTCCTTGGTTTTTGTCCTTTTGTGACTACTTACCATGCCTTCAAAGCCAACTCTGTAGAGGTTTTTAGCACCATTGTCCCAGAGAACATAAGCAGCACTGTGTGGGCTTGATGCACTCCAGTCCTGTATCTCTGTCACCTAAAGAGGGTTGTAAAAAAAACAAAAAAAACAAAAAAAAACAGACATACGGTTAAATGAGAGCGCATATGTATATATGTATATATAGTAAACCAAATATAATCTCTGTCAAACTGGTAAAACATTGACATGCACAGCAGCATTTTTGCTTTACAGGAAACAAACACAATGCAGATAAAAATAAAGTCATTGTGTTAACTACTTCCTGGCCGGAGCAATTTCTTACTATTTGCACACACTTGATAAAAAAAGCTTCAGACCCCCAAATATCTATTTTCTGAAAGCAGGGGCCCTGTAGAATTAAAAAAAAAAGATAGTTGCAATTTTTTATGTTGCACAGTATTTGCGCAAATGTTTATCAAACCAGTATTTTTAGGATAAAACACACTAAAATGAAATTCAGTGCACAGAAACAGGATATACTGTATTTTTCCGTGTATAAGACACTACTTTTTCATAAAAATGTTTACCTAAAAATAGAGGAAAGTGTGTGGAAAATCTGTGCATCTTGAAAAAGTCCACATGGGGGACAGCGGAACCCAGGGAAGCCGGCGGCAGAGGGGGCACACGGCACCGCACAAGCGATCCGATTGCTTGTATTTAAAACAGGCAATCGCCTGCTGTGTAAAATGACACCAAGAACACGGCTGCTGTAGCATCCGTGTTCTTGGTATAACCACTTCAGGACTTTTTTTTTTGTTTTACAATGGCCGTTCCTGAAGCGGTTAATCATTGCAAATTACTAGGTAATATGTACATCCAAATCTGTATCAAAGTAAACGATGCAACAAAACAAACAAATCTGGTTGTCTGGGTTAAAAGGTCAGCTAATTTGTTTATTGTTCATCATCCCAGATTAAAAAATAGACATTTTTTTAAAGGAGAACTATGAGATGAGTGATTTCCACTCACCTCATAGTTCTAGCCGACCTGTGACAATGAGACTGCCGCAGGTCGGCTCAGTAGATCGGGAGGTGAGCGAACACATACCAGGTTCGCTCGCCTCCCGATCCTGTCACGGCTCTCTGCCGTGACAGGGGGAGGGGCTGGATTCCCCTCTCCCCGCTCCGATCTGCCAGCGCTGACTAGAGGAACGGACAGGGGAGGGGGCGGGTACAGCTGGCTCTGCCTCTAGATAGGCAGAGCCAGCTGTCACTCACGAAGCTGGGCGGATCCCGTCATCTACGTCGGGATCCGCTCCAGGTGCGGCGTCTCAGTATACCACAAGCTGTAGCTCGCGGTATACTGAGCTTAGGGTAACGGGAGGACGCTAGTTTGTGTCCTCCCGTTACCCTAAGGAGAACTATGGGGAAAAACACTGACCTCATAGTTCTCCTTTAAAGTTTCCACTCAGAACGACTCCAGGCAGAATGGAGCTACTTCCGCATTGCAAGGGTTAAGTGCTCCTTTTCGTCTAGGGCCAGAAAAAAAAAAAACATACACAAACCTCTTTTTCTTTTGGCTGCTAGACCAGCCCCCACAGCCTCTCCCCCACCACTCTGGCAGTGGAATGTCCCTCGGTGTCCTCCCTTCTAATACACTGTATGATCATTAGACCACCGGAACGGAGGGGGAAGAGGGGCTGCGGGGGCCGGTCTAGCAACCAGACAGGACCAAGTTTCTGGTGGGAGATTCCTCCATGCACACAGTTTAGTGTAGATGGAGGAATCTGTTGCACTTTTACCACCAGACTAAAGAAAATCTGCAGATAAATTTGGGAACAGCTGCAGTGCCACTGACTTCAATGCACTTCCACGCCCCTCCCGTCCCTGAAGGAAGGGGCGTGGAGGAACCCTGTTGCAATGCGATTCAGTGTGTTGCAGAGCCCGACCGCTCTGAAACGCACTGTTTGTGGTGCCGACGGGCCCTAAGGGCATGTACATCCTTATAATACTAAGATGGGATATGTGTCTACAGTAAAAGTGTGAAGGGGGAGGTGATGACACTTCACTACACATGATGTCTGAATAACTAAAATCCTCTTTGTGAACTATGTAATAGTTGTAGTAATAATAATAATAAATAATTATAAGTGGGCAGTTCTGTTAGATTTAAAAAAAGAAAGAAAATTGCTGCATATAACTACTTCTCAGGAAATCGGACCCGTGTAATCTGTTTCTAGTATCAAACCAAAAGCATAAGTTGCTTACATGTGCAACTATATATGGAAGCTGCATGGCTGTGTCAACAACTCTAACATTCCTATAGCATACGCTGCATAAAAAGCCTATACCTGGCAAAATGATGCAGAAATCCTTTTGTCTGCATACAGATCCTCATCGGGTTGCGATAGATCGAGTTACAATCTTTTGCATTTACGGTAGGTGCCGGATAACTCTAGTAATTAGTAACTAATAATTTATTGCACCCATTACGCCGGGTCACGTCGGGTAAATAGACACCAAACATGTCAAGCTTTAAAATTGCGCGCACCCGCGAAAATTGCAGAAAACTACCATACCCACAATTGACCATAGGCGATGCTTGAAAAGCTTTTACCGCTCATCAGTTTAGTGTTATCAGTGATTGATGGCCCTAAAATGATTGCTCTCACTGCGACGTTCGCGGTGCTATGTAACATGTGCGGCGTAATGGGCGCAATCATCTTTTTTTGCACGTATGCGCCCCCGACGCATGTTTGCATATATAAGAATGCGGAAGTTATGTATTATACAACACTTCCGCATTCTTGCAGAGGAGGGGACCGGAGGGAGCTCTTATAACGATCTCCCTCTGATCCCCTGACACAGGCGACCTGCTGATCCCGGGCTCGCACCGGGCACAGCGGAGCCAGGGATCAGCGGGACAATGGCGGGGGGGGGGTAAAGGACCGATCGGCACCCCATACACGCGATCCGCTGGCTCTACAGCCGGCAGATCGCTTGTATGGTAACAGGCATCGCTGCCTGTTTTTACATTTCGGCCATTTCCCGCGCGCCACTATATATAGTTTTTTGGTATGCTGTGTGAATTGGAACACAAACATATAGAGGGGTTTTCTCAAATTTGACTGCAAAAGTGAAAATACATTTTAAATGAATGCATTGAGCTAGAGAGGGTGTTGCTCCCCATAAGGCAACTGTTTACTTTCTGAAAGATGAAGGCGCCAACTACAAAAAACATGCTACAAGTCCAAAATCACAATACCCTAGACTGAAACATATCGCATTCTGATGACAATACGTAGCTGGGTCATCACAACATCAAAGGTTAGTGTTTGCAGGGATAACAAAAGATGGCCCTATTACAAATTTTACTTCTTGCAGTTGAAATGTGTTTTAAATCAACACAAACTAAATGAATTTATGAATGTGGCTTTTGTGTTGGTTTACTTAGCAATGTGATACTGGATCTACCAGATTTGCCTAGCAAACACACAGGGAGTGACCAGCCAGTTGTTGGATATTGTACATTTGCATTTCAATGATCATTATGTGTCTTGCCAATAAAAGGTTGAAGCGGGGCTAGTTTACAGACCTCTGTAGTTTTTACAATTCCACACCATATGCCACCTTAACCCATTACCGGCCACAGCTAGTCAAAGGTTCACAATGAGCATGAGATTATTTATTCATACAAAGACACAGGCATACTAAGTTAAATGATATCACTGGAAAACGGCACACTTTCTGAACCAGTTTTCTCAAAGCTTCTCTTGACAATAATTTTAAATACGCATTAAAATATATATGCAAATAAAATGTTGAACATTACATAGCTGCTCCAGATTTTGTCTGCTCCAGTTTTGATAAATTCCCCTCACTGTGTTTTAGTATCTTTAACCATTCAAATGACAAAGATGAATATTAAACACAATGGCATTTAAAAAGTTCAAAGAAGCGTATGGCATCAATATAAACCATGAGCTTGCTTTCAAATTTAGCAGATGGAGTTCCTCTTAAAGTGACCCTAAACTCAGGAGCTTGCATTCAAGTACCTTAACTATTAAAAAGGAGAACTATGAGGTGAGTGCTTTTCACTCACCTCATAGTTCTAGCCGACCTGTGACAAGAGACTGTCACAGGTCGGCTCTGTAGATCGGGAGGTGAACGAACACATACCGTGTTCCCTCACCTCTCGATCCGGTCACGGCTCTCTGCCATGACAGGGGGAGGGCTGTATTCCCCTCTCCCCGCTCCGATCTGCCAGCGCTGACTGCCGGAACGGACGGGGGAGGGGGCGGGTACAGCTGGCTCTGCCTCTAGATAGGCAGAGCCAGCTGTCACTCGCGCAGCTGGGCGGATCCCGTCATCTCGGGTCGGGATCCGCTCCAGCGTCTCAGTATACCGCGAGCTACAGCTCGCGGTATACTGAGCTTAGGGTAACGGGAGGACGCTAGTTTGTGTCCTCCCATAACACTAAGGAGAACTATGGGGAAAAACACTGACCCCCATAGTTCTCCTTTAACAAAAATGTGTCTTATTTGTGAATTACTCGGCTGTAGACCCTCAAATCATCTCTGAATTGGTTACCTTCTGGAGGGTGGCTACTTTGTTCCCCATGGTCCCTGTGTGTGTTGTAAAGTAGTCACCGCTCCAAGCTCACTCCTGTGATGGACTTCAATCGCAATACAAATGATTAAACTAAATGCAAGATTGTAGTCCATCACGGGAGTGAGCTTGAAGCGTTGGCTACTTTACAACACACACAGGGACCATGGGGAACAAAAGTAGCCACCCTCCAGAAGGAAGGACAGTGTCAGCAGCAATTCAGAGATGATTCACACGGAGCAGAGAACGGATGTTGGAAGTGATGTCCTCCGATCTTCACTGCGGGTCCCAGTAAGTATTTTCATTGCCCGATGTACAGTACACTGTCCGGTACTGTACATCTGCAACGCTATACAGTACTGTACTAATACAGTACTGTACTAATGCAGTACAGTACTGTATAGAGTTCCTCACTTAACGACCAATTCGTTTAACGACCTGGTCGTAGGAACGGAACTCGGTCGTTAAGTGAGGAATACCTGTAAACAGATCGCATACATATAGCTTGTTCATACAAATGTGTAATGGTCCAGTGCTCACCGCGTTTTGCAGTCTATGCTTCATCAGGAGGGTGAGGTCCGTCACTACCAACGGATCGCCATCAAGGCATCCTGCCTGTATCATATCATGTAATAGTGAGCTCCATAGCCATGATCATCATCGACATGAGAACAAGGTGCTTTTCCCGGCAGTTCCCACCTGGCAAAGCACCCTCCCAGTGACAAGGGTATGTAGCCTGGTATGGTGCAGGGGGTGGGCACGCTCATCCCCCTCTTTCCTGCTTTGCCAGGCTGCTACCTGGATTAAGGTTCTGCTATGGAATTTTACTAACAAAATTATTGCCAAATTAATAGGCTCAATGGTGAAAAGTAAAAATTGTTTTGGTGCATAAGGGCCAAGGAGATGAAGTAGTTAAGGCCAGCTTCACAAATATGCCGCTACAGTCAATGTTACCCCAAGACATGGCAACGCAAGTACCATGGTGCACAGCGTCAGAAAAAATGGCCCACATACATTTTCTGGTCCAATTTACAGGCCATTCAAATTAATGGGTTGCCTTAACAAACAACATATGAACATACCGCATTGGTCCATGCAAATGTGAATGGGATCTAACAATTACGTTAAAGTGACATTAAAGTCCGTCCCCCCGCCCCTATGCTCCTGAAAGCACTTACCTTATTTGATGCCTTTTGCTGCGATCATCTTCTTTATTCCACTGGCTTCCGACAGTCCCTCCAGCGCTGGTGCCGTTCTCTGGATCCACCGCAGACCCCTCAGGTCCCACGGTGTCTGTCCGGCGTGCACGCTCCCGGTTGCCACACTGCATCCATTGAGTTTCATTTTCTCTCCTCTCCCCTCTGCTCTACTGTGCATTCACCCGCACACTTCTTTACAGCCATGCGGGAGTGCTACAGCCAGGAGCAAGCAGCAAGTTATTAGGTCTTTGCCTAATTTTTTCTAATCATAGAGCATATATCTGCTGCTTACTAGCAGTAGATATATGCCAAAAAATAATAAGCGTTTAATTATACTTTATACTTAAGTCTGGCAATAATTCTGTAATAATTTCATGCACAGAGCCTCAAAGCCCAACTCCAGCCAAAACTTGTTTGTATGGATTTTGGATACACTTGGAAAGAGCAATTACTTTCTTTTTGCTGTCTGTCTGTCCCATTGGAGAGATTTCACCTCAATTCCCGTCCCTATGATAACAGGACAAGAAATGAGGGGAGTGGTTTCAGATATATAATGATCTAATAGAGGTTCTTACCATTCCCCCAGTTTACTGAAAAGTGTTTTTGTGCATTCTGTTCCCTCATTGCGGAAATATTCCCTCACTTCCTATCCGGACACTAAAAATCCTAACAAAGGTTTAACCATTTCCCCACGCTGTCCAAGACAAACAAAACAAATTTGGCTGCAGTTGGTTTTAATAATTTAGTAGTCCATTAGCCTTTATGCATAACTTTGCATAAAATACAGGTTTAAAAAAAAAAAAAAAAAACTTTAAAATGAACAGCTAACATAGTATGTACAACTCCACTGTAAGATTTGTATTGAGGTTACTAAAGAGTTACAATTGCAATATACAGTAGAATAGGGCACATGCTTGTAAAGAAATATATTGTAACAGCAAAGTAGAATAGGTGCAGCCCCATTTCAATGCACAGCTTGCAACAAGCGGTATAACAGTGGTACAGACAGGGATTAGTTTGAGGTCTGTGAAGTAATAAGAAAGAAGAGGTTAATAGAGGGCCTAAGAAACAGTAGTTGAAACAGTCCTGCATTGTCAAAGTTTCAAAAGAGGAACGGAACCAGCAAGGAAGAAGGAATAAAGAAAAAAAGGGGGGTATGGAAAAAAAAGGAGGTGGAAAGAAATAAGAAACCTGTTTAGCAGAGCTGCTGCTAGCGTCAATTTAGGCAATGATGGGCAGAAAAAAGCGCTTCAGCGCAGTGTATGTGACAACTGTAAGGCTGCATTCATACCTAAGCGACATCTATTACGCACGTCTTACATGCATTGTTTGTGTGCAGATTGTGGCATATTCATGTGCATGGGCAAAACGCGCCGAATCTGCTCAAAAATAATTGCAACGTGCGTTTTTCAAGCATTTTCTATTGAGTCAATGGGGAGAAAACGCGCTGAATCTGCCCCAAAGTAGCTCATGTAGTATTTCTTCTTGCAACAACATGCCCAGGTGTGAACAGGGGCCATAGAACTGAATGGGATTGCTGGGGGTCAAGCGTTTTGAGACAGGACAATACGCTTCAGTGTGAATGGGGCCTCACAGTATAGACAGCTATAACTTTCAGTAGCCGCTAACTGCAATGTTTCTGAAATAAACTAAAAAAAAAAAAAAAAGTGTTTTTTTAAGGGAAAGTCCACTTAAAGTAAAAATGGAAGAAAAAAAAAAAAATCGTAAAAAATATATAGCATATATAAATGCTACACAAATAATTTTGGAATTGAATGTTAATAAAAGTTACCTTTCCATTTAAAACTGTAGCCTCTGTTATTTTCTTTTAAAACTGCAAAACCATAGAATTTAAAGAGGATATACCGTATTTGCAAGCGTATAAGGTGACTGGGTGTATAACCCCCTTCCGAGGCAACACCATTTAAAAGCATCAGATTTGATTTAAATAATTTTAATTGAAATGGTTATGACTTACCGGTACTTCATATTTCCTTCTTCTTGCTGGAGCCATGATGGGGTCTTGTCACCAGCCATTTTGTTTAAATACACCGACTAATCAGTCAGCCAGCTGGATGTGCGGTAATACTGTGTGTACGGTAGTTTCGGCTACATACAGTATACCGCGCTGAGCCAATCACGGCGAGCAATGTAATCTATTAATGAATACAAAGCCTGCTCGGATTGGCAAAGGTTGTGTACATGCCGTGATTGGCTCAGCGCGGTATACTGTATGTAGCCGAAGCTACCGTACATACAGTATTACCGCACATCCATCCGGCTGACAGATTAGGGACGTTCGTTTTGGGCCAGCTTGGCCCAAACGAACTAAAGGTTCACATTGTATACCCCGCGTATAAGACGACCCCCGATTTTCAGGGGATGTTTTTAAGTATAAAAAGTCGTCTTATATGCTGGCAAATACGGTACTTTCTTTTTCACACAACTGTATCTATAACATAACTTTTTATAAAATGGTCATTTGTCAAACTGTAAAATCATGTATTTTTTAAATGTCAATAAGTCAATACATCCAAACTAAATGTGCTTTGCCCGTAAAAAAAACAATATCTCCTGTCTGTTTAAATAATAAATAAAAGTATAGCCAAATGAATAGATTCATAACTGAAACGTGAAAATGGTTCGGAACTTAAAGCCACACTCTGGGCAAAATGATGATTTACACACCAAACTGGGTGTGTAAGCGATTAAAATGTTATGTGCAGAGGGCCTCTGCAAAGTAGAAAAATCTTACCTCGCACCACTCCGTCCCCCTGTACACAACACACAGCTTCCGGGCAGTGAAGAGAGGAAGAGTTGTGACCCACCCGCTTCGGTCACATCACCTGCCCCTTCTTCACTATCCTCCATTCAGAAAATGTACTTTTGTAAATAACACAAGACATTCTGTGATTGGAGGAGAGAAGAAGATGTCACATTCTGCACCCTCCTCCAATCATAGAATGTTTTGTATTTTTTTAAAGAATATTGTGAAAGAAATGATAGTGAAGAGGGGGTAGGTGATGCAACTAGTGTGCTGCACAGCTCTGGTTGCATCTGCCACTCTCTTCATTGCCTGGAAGCTGGGTGTTTTTTACAGGGGACAGATTGCTGCAAGGTTAAGATATGTATACTTTGCAGAGGCCCTCTGCACAGAACACCCAGCTTTTCAATAGTAATTTGCACACCCAGTGCGGTGTGTAAATTATTATTCTGTCCAGACTGCGGCTTTAACATTAAAATAAAGCATTCTTTATTCAGGACACTCTATATTTCAGAAACAATATTATTACCTTGCCTCTCCTCCCGTTGCCACCATCTTGGTCTTCCCACTGCCAGTCTACTCCACGCACAACTCTAGCACCAGCAAAAATTCCCCTTGCTGTTATCTTCTTCGACTTGCGCCGCGATTCCAAAAGCACACTAAGAGAAAGAATTTAGAATTTACCATTCAGCACTAGCTTGAATGTTTTGTTTAGTCTTCCATAGAGCAGGGAAGCCAAGTTTTTATTGATGTCTACCTCCTTATTGTGGAGATTTCCCTTCCTCTTCCAGATTAAAAGTGATGGGAGATCTCTACAACAGTGACACAGAAAGCAGTGCAGTAGTAGAGTGAGGGACGTTCAGTACTTTGTACTCTGTTTTTATTGATGTCCATGCCCTCCTTTCCCCAATTTGCTGAAGGGCATCACAGGGACATCAAATGAGCAAAAACCTTTACAATGTGGTGACAAGAAAAAATAATAGCCTTTTTCAAATAAGAAGCTTTTAGCTGTGAAGGACATTGGGGTGAAATTACCAAAGCAAGTTTTAGCCTCTTTGATCATTTTATTTTTTTTATTTGCAAATCTGTTTAGTCACTCCTTTCATCATGTGTGCCTGTTTTGACCTGAGCTTGCACTACTTTCCAACTGCACGTGTTTTGCACCTGTTTTCATCTGCACTTGTCCTGCGGCTGTCTGAAACTGGAGCATCACCTAACAAAACTCACAGCGTAAGAAGTACCCATGACTACTTCTTCAAGAAGCAACAGTTAAAAGGAGAACTATGAGGTGAGTGAAAATTACTCAGCCTTATAGTTCTAGCCGACCTGTGACAATGAAACTGTCACAGGTCTGCTCAATAAATCGGGAAGTGAGTGAGCGAACACATACCTTCGCTCGCTCACTTCTCGATCCTGTCACTGCAGAGAGCCGTGACTGTCACTCACGGCTCCCTGCAGGGATTCCCCCCTCCCCTGTCCGATCCTCCAGCGCTGACTGGCGGAACGGACGGGGAGGGGGCAGGTACAGCTGGCTCTGCCTCTATATAGGCAGAGCCAGCTGTCCCTCTCGCAGCTGGGTGGATCCAGACAGAAATGTCGGGATCCGCCTGGCTGCGGCGTCTCAGTATACCGCGAGCTCTAGCTCGCGGTATACTGAGCTTTGGGTGACGGGTGGACGCTAGTTTGTGTCCTCCCGTTACCCTTAGGAGAACTATGGGGAAAAGCCCTAACCCCATAGTTCTCCTTTAAGCTTTTTGCCTAAAGTTATGAGTCTTCTTTCCTGGAGCCTATTTAAACTCATTTATGAACATTACACTATAAACATAAAGGAGGCACAAATATATCCCAATGCGACAATATGCGAGTTCAAACATTCACAATTGCTATGATAAATTCCCCCCATTGTGAAGCAGAAAAAAAAACTAAGATTTTGCCTGGAATTCAGCTTCACATAAAACTCGCCTGCAATCGCCAAATTTCAACACTCCCCATTAACCTCTTGCCGTTCGCCCGTTAAGAAAAAACGGACGGACGGCTGACTCCTATCTGCGGGTTGCCGTCGCCAGACGGCATTTTTTTCCTGCTCGCGCGCGCACGGGCAGGAAAGACCCGCTTGTTACTACAGCCGTTAACGGCTGTTTCACATACAACCGATCAGCGGCTCTATAGCCGCCGATCGGTTGTATGGCGTGAATTTCGGAGGGCCCCCCCGCGATCGCGGGTGCCGCCATCGCTGCATGACGGAATAAATGTCAGTCAAAGTACCGCAGCGCTGAATACTGAAAAATGGCCTGGATGGGAAGGGGGTTTAACACTGCGGATGTCAACTGGTTAAACAATTATTAGGAACAGCTAAGCACTAAAGGTACAGCTGTCCTTCAAGTGCAAGACCCACTTAAACCTGTAGTTACCGTTCACTTCCTGGTGTAGTAATTCGATAAAATCGATGCCTCAGATGATGCTTGTCTCCATGGTAACACAAAGTGCAAAGATCATAGTTTGTGCACTCGGCGCACTTCCATCGGATTCCAATAATCGGCTGCTGTCTACATGTATCACACATTGTCCCATCGTGTTTGACACCTTAAAAAAAAATAAAAAAATCTTAATACAAAATGGACAGACCCTTTTAGCATAAAAAATATAAAGCACTAATGTACTTTTAAATAACTAAATAAGCAGAGAGCAGTAGAAGGCCAGTCACATATTATCCAAGTTATTCATCTGAAAAGCCCCATGCAGTAAAATGATTCATAACCAACACACCAAAAAGCAATTACAAATAAAGTGTGACTCATATTAGGCTTTTGGGCATGTTAAATGCATTTGCTGACAAAGTAAGAAGCAGAGCTGAACATGGATGTTCACCTTATGAGCATCTTGTCTACATACAGAAATAAAGAACCTTTCCAAGTCCAGCTGTCAATTAGTTGTAACAAGGAAGGTTCTGAAGGCCTTACTACAGTGAAAACACATAGGAACATGGTGGAATGAACCAAGTACTGAAAATCTCCATTAGAGCCCATTCACACCACATTATCTCCAGACCAGACCGCTTATGGACCCAAAATGCATTCTAATGTATCCCTATGTTAATTCTGGCCTCTGTTCACACCAGTGCAGTGCGTTACAGACAAAATATTGCATGTCTCATTTGGTCTGGTCTGAAATGCACTGGAACTGTGTGCTGGTTCACACCATTTTCCGGACCAGATCTGGTCCGGAAAATGGTGTGAACCTGCCCTTAGTGTGGCATATAACTTTGAAATACTTGGCTAGTGTGGGAAATTAAATCCTAACTTACCCCATATGTTATTTATCTTTTCTATACAGCTACACAGAAATACAAAATGGGAGAGCCCCTTCAGTTTTGCAATGAATAGTGCAATAATAAAGCATTATGGGAAAGGGGCCTTTATTGCACCCTGGTACCCATGTAAAATGCCAAACTGTTTTATACAAGGGCACTGAATGCACCACAGACAGTACTAAAGCCAAGGTGGTAACAGTTCCATTATTATACCTACAGATTCGTGAGGCCGGAATCCCAGGCAGGTTCATACAGATTTGTTGTTCAAGTTAATGACAGGCTGACAGCAGTCACATCTGTCAGTCCACATGTAATCAAGCATGAAACAATTACTTGCGGTTCGGGATAGACGATTGTCCCTGGACATAGACGCATACTGAGGAATATGTTAAAAAAAAACCCCACCAGAAGCAGCATCTCTGGTAAAAGATCTCTTTATTAGTGATATACAGTGTAAGGGAATCATTCTGTTTGAGTTATAAACAGGCAAATATATGAATGATCGCAAAAAAGACAGGGATTATAACCCTCCTGTACTCGATACTAAGTGAAATAAAGTTTTGGCTTTAGTTCTGCTTTGTGTATTTGATTTGTTGTGGTGCATTTTGATGCATTTTACATGTCCCTACATCAACTAACACGTCCAGTCAAAACATTTTTTTTAGTTTAGTAGGGCATCCAACCATCTGATTACTCGATAATGAGAATAGTTGCCAACTATTGTCATTATTGATTAGTTGGTTGGATCCCCTAGCTCTCTCTTCCACGCTGGGAGGGTGGCACAGCACGCAGTGGGCGGCTGCAATAGCCAGCCTACTATTCTAATTTGAAATGGCCAATTGCAGGCTGGATATGCACAAACCCACTACCTCAGGGGTGTGGAATTCCGATCGCCCGATGCCCAGGACATATAGTTCACGGCAGGTAGTTTTTCTCTACATTTAGCCTTGCTTTGGGCAAGCAGGGCTAAATGTAGAGGGGGGCGCCGTTTTGTACAGGTGATCTCGAACGGCTGTACAGCCGCCTACGGTCACTTGTAAGCAGCTAAATTGTCATTCCCCCACCCCTTGCACTGCTTCCCTCCTCGTCCACCATCTGTCACCACCCTCTGACACTCTGCCTGCCCACCATCTGTCATCGCCTCTATCTCAGCCCGCTGCCTTCCTCCCGGCTGTTATTTTCCAGGTCCCCCGCTCTACTGGGAGTCCCAAGGCCACTGCAAATTACATGAGGATGGAGAGCGGGGAGCAGAGCGGAGAACGTCCGTTCTCCGCACTACTCCGTGTGAGCACTGACACAGAAACGCTGCACTCGCAGCCTTCCTGTCACAGGAGAACGAGCACAGTGCTGTGCTAGAACTCCTGCATTGGAGGTGGCAGGTTCAATAAAGAGAACCTGTCACCTCCAAATGCTAATCACACAGGCTCATGTTAGCCCCTGTTTGATAGCAATAAAGTTAGGTGAAAAAAAAGTAAAAAATAAAAAAAGTAAATAAAAATTAATAAACATGGAAATAAAAAGGTAAAAAAATAAAAAGGCGATAAAAAGTATAAAATAAATGAAAATTAAAAATAAAAGTAAGAAAAAAATACAGTAAATAAAAATAAAAACCAAGCTCGACTCCACCATCTGCATGCGAATAAGCGCATGCGTAGGATATTAGGTTTGTGTGATGAGTGCTGCCCCCATTCCACTGCCATAATGTGGTAGTCTGGCAGCAGCACTCTCTTACAAGCACAATGGGCATTAAAGGGTAGGTTTACTTTACCAAGTAATTTGGGAAAATGTAATTACTCGCTTAAATTTGGCCAACAGCCCTTTCCGTCTGCCAGTACAAGTATACCATCTGTACCCATACTACCGTCCAGTGCAGCCCTGTGCCATGTATTCTGAATTTCGCTCGCAAATTGCGAGCATCATTGGTCAGCGCAATCACCTGACAGCGCTGACCAATGAGAAGGACTTCTTAGTAGGGATGCACCGATACTGATAGAAGTATCGGTTCTGATACCGAGTATTTTTGCAAGTACTCATACTCGCCCAAATGCTCCGATACCGGAACTTCCGGTCAGAGGAAGATTTCTTCTGACCGGCAGTGCCGTAGGGGAACATGGAGCCAGCTTCCCATGCGATCAGGAAGCAGGGAGGCGAGTAAAGACCCACCTCCTGGCTTCCTGATTGGTGGGTAAGCCGGCTCCATGCGGACTGAAAATAAAAATAATGAAAATCATCATTAGTTGCAGCCCTAGAGTTTACAATAAAGTGAAGAAGGATTAAAACCTCTGTCCAGTTTTACTGTTGTGGAGCCCCATTACAGAGAGTTTTGCCAGACATGAAGTGAGGGAAAAATAGCCAGAGGGGACATGCACACAATACAAAGCGGAACATTATTGTTGCAGATTTGATTTCATTTCCTGTCTGGAAAGACTAGGAGAGTTACTCTCACAATGACAGTGACTGAAAGGAAAGTAAAACCTTCCATGGCTTTTAATCCTTCCCAACTCTGTCCAAAACTGAACACACATACACTGTACTTTCAATGGAAGATTCACTTGCTGGAACCATACAACCCGCTGTAAGCAAGTATTTTTAAAACACACCAGCCCAAAATACAAAGTAAACTGATCCTTTTTCTGCAAATAATGGAGTGTGGTGATAACCCCCCATCTGTGATGAATAGATACTCTGCTAATTGATTATCTGTCAATATTAGACAAATAATGACTACTGGGATATACAGATGCTGAATAATGAGAACTGGAACCAAGGAATAAAACAGTTAGCTGCATCACTCAAGTCTTCAGTTTTTAATCCACACAATAAAAATAACAGCATCTATGCAAGGGCTTGTATTTCTTTCCTAAATAAAGGAGTTTCAAAATGAAATTAAAGGAGCCTGTTGTCTAAGATCTAATGGACATTGTTTACACCCACACTGTTCACAAACTGTTCCACTATTTAGACAAAGGATGACATCAGCACTGACATCCCCGAGCGCCTCCGAATGATTGGTCATTAAAATTTGAAATTAACCAACGGCTCCATGAAAGGTAGCAGACAGCTGGCAATGAAGCTGTAAAGAATCAATGAATACATAGACGCTGGAGAAGGATCTGACTGATGACACGTATTCCCATTCTGGTATCATTAAATTCATCACCTGCTTCATTTGGAGCAGATTTACACGTTACATTCCAATTCATCTCTGCTTACTTATTTTTGTAAATTACTAGATAACTTAAAAGTTTACAGGCCTTTCAAAACTGGTTTTGTAACTGAACTGTCTCCCCATTTTTTAAAGCGCTGCGCAAACCGTTAGCGCTATATAAATCCTGTATCATTACAATACTCCAATACAGGCAGAGCAAGCCTAAGACAAGGATTGCAAAATGAAGGCTTGGACTATAAAGCACATCATCAAACATTACGAAAACCTATTTTATGCTGCGGTGGGCTGTCTAACACAACGTGCGTACGTTGTGGTGTGGGTTCCCCGTTCACACTCGCACACACCTAAGCACGACAAAATGCTGAAGACCAGGAGTCCCATTCATTTACATGGTCCTGAGCGTTTTGTCACAAGTAGAAAAACACTTGTTCCTGCAAAAATACATGAGCTGCTTTTTGGCAGTTGACATCGCTTTTTGGTGCCATAGACTTCAATGGGAAAAAATTAATGCGTTTCCAAATGAAGTCTATGGGACCAAAAAGCACGATAGCTCATGTATTTTGCCAGCGACTGGCGGTTTTCTGCTTGCGACAAAAGACTCAGGTGTTAACAGGGGCCATAGAAATGAATGGTTTCCTTGTCTTGATCGTTTTGTCGTGCTTCGCGTTGAGTAACAAAACGCCTGAGTGTGAACGGAGCCCGAATGGCCTCTCAATTCACCATTTTAATAAACACTTTGGGGGGAATTTATCAAAACTGGAGCAGACAGAAACTGGAGCAGTTGTCCTGGCAACCAATCAGGATCTCTCTTGCTCAGTTGGGATTTGAAAATGAAAGAGAGAAGCTGATTGCTTGCAGTGCAAATCTGCTCCAGATTTTCTCTGCTCGTTTTGATAAATTCCCCTCAATGTGGTCCCTGTAAAACCTACTATATAATATACAGTTATAACAACTGGAAGATCTGCTATACTTTACATTAGGGCTGCAACAACTAATCGACATAATCGATTATTGAAAAAGTTGTCAACTTTTTCAATCATCGATCAATCGGCTTCCGATTGGTTGGCCCTGTTCACAGCTCCACACACGCTGCAAACAAGTTGCTGGAAGACTGCTCAGGTAAGCCTGCACTTTCCCACACATGGTGCTCTATAATGTATTGCTGGGATATGTATTCCTCTATAGTTGATGGTACATTGTGCTGTATGTTATACAGCACAATGTACCATCAGCTATAGAGGAATACAAATCCCAGCATTACATTATACACTGTATGTATATTGGGATTTCTTGTATTCCTATATAACTGGTGGTATTCTGCATTGCGCTGTATAGGAGGACTACAAATCAAGGAATAATACATTATACAGCGCAATGCGGAATACCACCACCTATAGAGGAGTACAACAAATCCCATCACTGGAGCCATTTTTTTGAATTTGTTTTATTTTTTTTATCCGATCGAACTTAATAATCGGCTAACTAATCGATTTTGAAAATAATCGTTAGCTGCAGCTCTACTTTACATACCACTATATACCACTATAGAATCTGATTGTGCCATCTTCTTCACATCTGCCATACACTACTGCTTGTATACTCATTGAATAGCTTGACTGGGTATGGTAAATATAAACAATGTGATTGCACAGTGTATGGCCAGCATTACACACATATACTGTACCACAGAGAAAGTGTAATTCTGTTCAGATGTCCAAAAGGACTTGTATACACAAGAGCAAGTCTGTGTGAGGAGACCTGTAGCCAGACTAATAAAAGCACTTTGCATTCATTTTGGTGCTCACATTAGTCAGGTGATGAACTTATTTAATCCTCATAATACCTCAGGTCACAGGTGTCCCCCGATCAATCCCCCAGCACAATGTACACAACCTGTATATAAAGTAAAAATCTCAGATCATATACGGCAGTGCTCGCCCACGAACCCCCCGTGCTCGCGCCCGGGCACCTCATAGTACACACTGCGTCCCCCTCTTACCGGTGGGCGCACTGTCCAGCACTCTCAGGTCGTAGGCCCCGGAGCAGCGATAGTTGGCAGCAGTGCCATTGTCCCAGACCACCACCACCTCCTCCGGGCTCTCGAAGCTGCGTACGGTGCCCACATGGCCCTCTCCGCCATCCTGCTTCCCCCACTTCCAGTCCGGGCCCCGTGACACCCTGGCCCCCACTCCTTCCATCATGACCCGGTTATTGCGAGAGCCGCTCATTCCCCGGTAGGGATTCAGGGACCGAGGGCCCGGCCGCCTCCTTCTCCTCGGGCCTTCCGGCTGAGTGATGCGAGGTTATCCGTGCGCCTTATTCCTGCGCTTCCTTCCCGGACAGCGAACTTTCCCTGCGACCCACAAGGCCAGCAATCCAGCTCGGGGCGCCGCTGCAAACACCCGACCGCCACAGAGACTGCGCGCAGCGGGAACGCGCCACAGCCTCAGAGGCGTGGGAACTGGCGCGCCGCCGCCTGCCTGGGGAATCGGGGGCGCGCCTGGTCTAATTGCAGACATCGGGAGCGTTGGTGGCTGTGTGAGGCCCGGGCGCCTCGGAAATGTCTATGCCTTTGTTACTGCTCCTTATCTCTGTCTCACATTACCATGGAAGTCTTGCTGCTGTTGAAATCGTGACAATAGACAGCACTTAAGTGAATAAATAACAATTCTATGGATATTTTTTTGCTTACTGTCCAGAGCAATTTCTTAACCAGTTGACATCAGCGGTGTTAAACCTCCTTCCCATCCAGGCCATTTTTCAGTATTCAGGGCTGCGGTACTTTGACTGACATTTATTCCGTCATGCAGCGCTGTACTGAAATGAATTTTATACCCTTTTTTGGGGACAGATAGAGCTTTCTTTTGGATGTATTTAATCACCACTGGGGTTTTTATTTTTTACTATATTAAGAAAAAATTACCTCTCGGTAACGAGTGTTTGCATTGGTCGGGTCTTTTCTGCCCGTGCGTGCCCGCTAAGGCGCAAAATGCCGTCTGGAGATGGCAACCCGCCAACGCTCCAGTGCCGTCTGTCCGTTTTTTTACAACGGGCGGACGGCAAGTGGTTAATATTTGCACACACGTGATAAAATATCAATTTTGGCTAGAAAAAAAAATGCTTCAAACCCCCAAACAATGATATATGTTCTGAAAGCAGAGGCCCTGCAGGATTAAAAAAAAATGCTAGTTGCAATTTTTTATGTTGCACGGTATTTGCGCAAATGTTTATCAAACCAGTATTTTTAGGATAAAATAAACTAAATTAAAATTTAGTGCACAGAAACAGAATATAATACCCAATTTTTTGGTAAAATATGAAGGATGGGGTCACGGCGGGTAAAAAGATACCAAACATGTCAAGCCTTAAAATTGCATTCGTCTGTGAAGCCGCAAAAAACTACAATACCCCAAATTTCCCATAGGAAACACTTTTACCACTCATCAGTTTAGTGCTAACAGTGATTGATGGCCTTAGAATTATTGTTCTCACTCTGACGTTCGCGGCGATATTTAACATGTGTAGCGCAATTGTTGTTTTCGCATGTGGGCGCGCCGATGTGTGTATATGTGGGGGCGGGGGACTTTAAAAAGATTTTTTTGCTTTTTTATTTTATTTTTCGCATGTTATTTTAATTTTTTTACATTTCTAAATACTTTTTTTTTTTACACTAACCTTATTGCTATCACATAGCAAGCTAACAAGCGTGTGTGACAGGTTCTCGTTCAGACTCCTAACGTCACATAGGGACCCCAAAGAAGCTGATGAAGCAGAGATCTGCTTCCCCCAGCTTCTTCTCCTGGCTCTAGGAGCCGGAGAATGCAAATCGTCACACTGGAAGTGATGTAATACATATCACTTCCATGTCCAGTGATCGGAGGAGAAATCAGCAGCTGGAAGCCGCTGAATGTCTCTCCAATCGTTGCGGGGAGAGCCGCCGAGCCGCTCCCAGGCGCCACACTGGGGCAGCAGGGCCCGGTGAAGCCGACGGCGGCCCTGGCGGGGGGGAGGGGACAGCGGCACTCAGTACAAACGATCTGGAGGCTGTAGAGATGCCGGATCGCTTGTACATTAACAGCTATCGCTGGCTGTTAAAAATGACACCAAGAACTCAGCTGCTGCAGCAGGCGTGTTCTTGTTTTAAACACTTCTGCGGGCCGCCATATATAGACATATTGCGGCCCGGAAGTGGTTAAGGCAAAATTAAAATATTTTAGTACCAGGTTGAGGTTAAGGGTTAATTCACACCATAGGCAGTGCGTTCCGGTCCGATTCTGGCCGGAAAGCACCAGACCGCACTGCAGGCACAATGTGCCTTGCGATCCCATTGTGGCTGGAGGGCGTAGCTACGGTGCCATTTACTTCAATGGCTGGAGGAGGCATGGCGAGCCATTGAAGTGAATCGGTGCGGTGCGATCAAAATAGTGCTTGCCGCATTTTGATCGGACCGCACTGCAGACACAATGTGCCTTGCAATCCCGTGCGGGCGATCGCATTGCGACCGGAGGGTGTGGCTACAGTGGCATTCACTTCAATGGCCCGCCACGCCCCCTCCTGCCCAGCAAAAAAGTGAGCCGGCCGCAATGCGAGGCAGTGTGAACAAACCCTAAAGTAGAATACCTGCCTCTTTAAACACTGTTTTGCTCTATAAAACAAACAGTTCTCTTTAACTATTGGCGCTAATGGCTGCCAGCTGAACGATCGATCCACTTGCTGTTGCATACTGAAAGTTTTCAACAGTTTTTCACACAGACTTGAGGGGCTGCTCATCCAACGCTCTGGGGCTTCCACCACGAACATAGAAAACAAAAGGGAACAGAGCGCCACCTCCATGTGTAAAATCGTTTATTAGGATAAATAAAACAAGGGATATATGTACTCACAAGCAAACATTTTCATCAGGCTTTAACAACAAACAGGAGGCCACACTGTCTGTTAACCCAACATGGTATCCCCCCTACTATGTAACACAGTTGCCTCCTGTCACATCATCGTCCAGGGCTTGCTACGCATGCGCCAATGGCGCGTTGCCGCAAGAGGAAATCTGTGCATGTGTCAAAGGCACGTCAGTGCGCCAACCCGCGCATGCGCAGAAGACCTGATGGAAAAAGGCAGGAAGATGCCCAGGAGGCGCACAGGAAGTGACCTCAACCTGATGGAAAAAGGCGTGAAAATGCCCAGAAGGCGGACAGGAAGTGACCTCAAACTTCAATCATCACTTCCCTATATAAGCCCAGCCCAGACACTGCCAATTGCTGGATTATCTTCAGTCCCCCCTTGTTCCTGTGCTAGTGTGTGATCTGTCTGAACTTGTTGTGACCTGGAAACCTATTTGATTACTCTTGATTGCTGCCTGCCATTGACCTTGGATTTGTACCTTGACCATTCTACTTTTTTGCCCCTTTTGTACTCAGCTGTCAGATTGGAACCAACCCCGGCTTGGATCTCCACCATTCTTCTGATTAACCCTTGTGTACTTCTTTGCCAGAGTGGACTTGACCTCGGCTCGTATCTCAGACTAAGGCTTGCACAGTGCTCCGCACCCCTGGCACCCGGTGTCCACTGAAATCTCTGTCTCCATCTCCAGAGACTTCAAGGACCCGAGGTGCAGGGGAGGCCTCCCCACTACTTCGGTTTCACCTCCGGTACGTGGCCCACGTGACAATCAATAAGACACGGTATGGTCGGTTTCCAGTCTGAAGGTGCCCATACACCTTACAATTTATCTGCAGATTTTCTGTGATCAGATGGAAAAAGTGCAACAGATTGGCCCAGGTGGAGATTACTCCATCCACACAGTTTAGATGGAGGAATCTGTTCCACCTTTTCCATCTGACCATAGAAAATCTGCAGATAATTGTAAGGTGTATGGCCAGCTTCACATTTTGCTTATGAGTACATATATCCCTTGTTTTATTTATTTTAATAAATGATTTTACACACGGAGGTGGCGCTCTGTACCCTTTTGTTTTCACTAATGCTCTATTCAACACTAAAAACTAAATAAAATGTTACCCTAAGGAGAACTATGGGGAAAAGCCCTGACCCCATAGTTCTCCTTTAATGAACTGTCTGAGTTTTTTTATTGCATATGTCGCAAGCACAGGCCAGAATGAAATATGGCGAGCTACTTGCTTTGGCGCAGTAGTCGGTAGAGGTCCGAAAAAAGGTTCAGCATGGTTTAGAATTTGGCACATACATTTTATAGGCTGCATTAGCGCAAATTCTGGCACAAACGACAAAGTAGGTCAGTAATGGGGGAAAGATTAGCTGTAGGGAGACCTCAGGAATTCCTGGTGACCAGTCTTTTGCCCTCTTACTTTTTTGGGCACAGCTTTTAGAGCTTAGTGCCTCTTTACGTGTTAGGGAGAACTTTGTGTTCATTTTATGGTTAGGTTAAGTTTTAAAGCTAATGTTACAGCAAATATTAGAAAAAGGAGGGAGCCCTGTGACTCACTAGTAATGTTGCTCTGCACATCAAAAAAAGGACCAAGAATGGGTTAAAAGCCCATTTCCAACCTTGTAAATGATTAGCCTTTATTCTGGTAATGTAGAGGTGCAGTGATGATGTACACTCACCGGCCACTTTATTAGGTACACCTGTTCAATTGCTTAGTAACAAGAATTGCTAATCAGTCAATCACATGGCAGCAACTCAATGCATTAAGGCATCTAGACGTGGTGAAGACAACTTGCTGTTCAAACCGAGCATCAGAGTGGGGAAGAAAAGGGATATAAGTGACTTTGAACGTGGCATGGTTGTTGGTACCAGATGGGTTGGTCTGAGTATTTCAAAAACTGCCAATCTACTGGGATTTTCACACACAACCATTTCTCGGGTTTATAGAGAATGATCCGAAAAAGAAAAAATATCCAGTGAGCGGCAGTTCTCTGGGCAAGAATACCTTGCAGATGACAGAGGTCAGAGGAGAATGGGCAGATAGATGATAGAAAGGCAACAGTAACTCAACCACTCGTTACATCCGAGGTATACAGAATATCCTCTCTGAATGCACAACATGTCAAACCTTCAATCAGATCGGCTACAGCAGCAGAAGACCACACCGAGTGCCACTCCTGTCAGCTAAGAACAGGAAACTGAGGCTACAATTTCGCACAGGCTCACCAGAATTGGACAATAGAAGATTGGAAAAACGTTGCCTGGTCTGATGATTGTTGATTTCAGATGCAACATTCAGATGGATTAGAATTTGGTGTAAACAAGTGAAAGCATGGATCCATCCTGCCTTGTATCACGGTTCAGGCTGCTGGTAGTGATTAAATGGTGTGGGGGATATTTTCTTGGCACACTTTGGGCCCGTGATGCTATCATATCAATATGGACCAAAATTTCTGAGGAATGTTTCCAACACCTTGTTGAATCTATGCCACGAAGAATTAAGACAGTTCTGAAGGCAAAGGGGGGGGCAACTCAATACTAGTAAGGTGTACCTAACAAAGTGGCCGGTAAGTGTATATGTGTGCACATTTTCATGACTGGCTTGTTTGCTGATT